GGGGGGGGGGGGGGGGGGGGATTTGGGTGTACCTCATCATAGATTTTGAGGACTAGGGGGAAAAACTTTATGTATAAAAAAGGTGGATGGGATTATGGATGAATGGGTAACCCTGGGCTTTGTTTTTCAAGTAATTTGATCTTTATGAGCAGCAGTGTTATAAAGAGGCATGAGAAACATTTTATAAACAGAATGTTGCAGTATTACAATTTGATTCCTCTACTTTCTTTTACGAAGTCAATTTTCTTAAAATCGGCAACACCCATCTATCAACGTAGACACTGATATCAACCTTTGCAAAACTGCATAATTTAAAGGCACTGTATTAATATGCAACTATAACAATGTAAAAAAAGGTAAAGACAGGGTTGTGTAATATCCATAGATTATTTACTGATAACTTCAGAGAACCTCATTTTAACATCCTTTGTACTGCAAAATCTGAGTCTTTATCCCTGGTTTGAACTAGCTGAATTTCTTCAGTTGCCACTCTCAATACAGAAACCATTTAATGTTTAAAGGCTCCAGGACAGAAACTGTAAAGGCACCTCAGGTAGATCCAAAAAGATGCCTTACATATGATACCCAGAGCACAATGGGAAATTCCCAATAGAGGACACTAATCCCAGTCTTCCTGCAGATTGCTCTGTTGAAGTAGCAGAACAACAACCAGCACTGGATGCTTTACTGACCCATCATACTTGGCAGGTTATAAATGAATGTACAGATACAAGTAGCTTAGTTACTGTTCGTGCAAGAAAAGTAGGCTTAGTAAGTTACAGGTCTGTTGTTACATGGGGCACTAGAAGTCGTTTTGCCTTGCTGTGTTCCTAGCCGCAATCAGATACTTTGGTAACATAATCGTTAACTGCAGAATCTGCTGTTTGCAAATCAGAGAATTCTCCGTGGAACTGACTGTGTGTTCAGTCAATGTTTCATAACAGAGAACACAAAAACTCAGGCATGACCTCCCTAAATTTATTGGAGTACTGTGGTTTTTTTGGCATGGTGGTGACAATCACACTCAGGCACAATGGTGAACAACATGCAGCTCATTCAACCCCGGCAGGTCCCCAACTCCTTCATGCCGAGATCTCAGCACAGAAGCTAACCTTTAGCAGTGAGACTCAGTGTCACTATTATGTGACAGCATGATGACATATTCCTTCAGTCACCTGGCTAATTCGATAACCGGATATGAAGCATGAAATCCCATCTAGAACATATTAAAAATGAGCTTTGTGCCTAACTGAACTCTGCTTCTGGGATGTCACTTTGTCCGAGCACAAAATCCATCTTGATTCTCCATAAAATCAGACCACTTAAAAATAAAAAAAAAAATTAAAAAAGGATATAGGGGGAGGGGGGGAGGGTTAGAGAGGTACTAAATGTCACATTTTTTCCCAGTTGTCTAGTCAGTTATTTATTTTTTCTTCTTCTCCTGTGTGGAAGTGAACCACGCATCCAGCAGCTTCTTGCTGTAGTAAATTTGCCAGGCATGCACCTGTATGGCAATGACCATCACCAGGTACATCACGGAGACGGCCGAGAAGCCGAAGATGAAGCGGTAGGCTTTTCCGTGGCGATAGAGCTGCTGAGCCACCGGAAACATCTCCATAGCCCCGTAGATAAGAGGGGCGATGCAGAAGAGACCTGAGCTGATCATGGCAAGTACCAGGTAGCTGATGTTGTTGCGTGGGAGCGCCAGGAAGCTGAAAATGGACGGCACGATGCTGATGAGGTAGGGGTACTCCCACTGGTAAGGAGCGGCCACCAGGTCATGTGACACCAGGCCCATGTTGCTGACGGTCACCTGGGCTGCCACCAGCAGCCAGATCAGCACATGGACGATGTTCAGCTTCCGAATCTCTGACTTGAGTGACACACTGGAAAAGTCACACGCAAAGGACACTGCATTACAACAGGAGAGTTGATTGAACAATTCAGTTTTAAGTATGTCGATTAGGAATGCAACAACACTGGGACTGGAATATGCAAACTTGCAGAAGGTCCAGTTAACTGGAATCAGATAATTTAGGCAACAAATGGTTTGGTAGACAGGGATATGGTGAAGATGAGTGCAGGAGATGAAGAGCAACCAACAGACAGAGAAAAGACACAGGTAATCAGACAGACAAAATGCAGCAAAACGTCTTGCATCTGTCAGCATCTTGACCAAGGCATGGCGGAACAGTCGAATTTTCCAGATAGCTGAAAGGTACTCATACAAAACACTGAATTCCAACACATTTCTCATATTTGATTATTATATTCTATTTTAAAAAATATATTTGACTCAACATAAGAGATTGAGAGGTAAAAGATGGAAGAACAAACAGAAAGACTAAAGTGTGAGGCTGTGGGCATGCTCAGGAATTGACATATGTATTGCACAATGCTTTTCTTTATTTTAGTTCAGTGGATAGATTTTAAATAGAATAATTCTATTACATATTGCGAATTTTTATGTTTTATACAGATATATTAAAATTGTGCCAGTTACTGGAATGCCAGATGCATTAACATACATAAAAACAGAGACGGGCCCAATAAAAGGAAGAGGTTGCGAAGTGGAGGCGGCCTACCTCATCTGGTAGTGCGACGCTACCTTCTCTCTGTGCTTGAAGTCGCTGCCATCAGTGCCTTGAGCTCTGGGGCCAGCGCGAGAAGCCATAGCACGTCCCTGCACATCCACAAAGCAAACTGTGTGTTTTACCAATGGAACGCTGAATTTCCATCCAACCATCAACTCATCGTAGTCGGGAAAAAAAGTACTTGGCTATAGGGTTGTTTAGCTACATATTGCGAACATTTAACATTTAATGCCAACGGTCCATATTAAATACATGTTTTACGCCATAGTCTTCGTATTTTGCATCATACACGCTTCGGAATAAAACTTTCTTAAATATAAAAGAATACGATTTGTAGTTTATTTCAAATTAACCTGATGTCAGCGACCTTCTACATTTTACATTCTGCTTCGCACTTAAGTCAAACGCTAAAAATGACGCGTTATGTCACAAATTGTATAAGGATGTGCAAGATGAAAAAGTTAAGCGAAATTCTGAACATAAGAAAAATGACTATCCCTATGTTATTCCATGCACATGTTCCAAGCAAAATCTACAAGACAATATGAATACAATAAAAAAACGTTATTATGCTATAGTTGTTGGTTTATATTTTCAGGAGTCCTGGATATACGATGCATTTAATGCAGCCTTATTAAATCATTTCTCGTAACTAGCTGAAAAACAGACGCAGATACCAGGATCTATTCCGGCTGCCTGAATAAGATGATAACGTGTATAAGTCTGTATAAGTAGTTCAGATCGCGAGTTATCACCACTGCCGACTACATACACTGTGCACGTTAATCGCCATATTGCATGCAGCGCCTGTCTTTGCGATGTTTTTTTTTTTTTTTTAAAAAAAGCACGGAGATTTAGTTAAATGTGTATTATCAACAATCCTAGCCCGATCCCCACATGCAGGTTTGTTTTAATCTAAATTTTGTTATCCATAAAAAGGCTCACGTGCCGCTTCATTTAGTCATGGGCGTGCGAGATCTCCCCGCATCCTTACGGTTTAACAGGAGGCGTCTGCTAATCAGATTCGCTAACAGAACAGTAGATACGTACGTTTTGCTGTCGCGTGAGGAAAACTGAGATTTGGCAAAATAAAACGAAGTATGTTGGATAAGTAGCGACAGTATTAATTTCGAGCTGACTTGATCCAAAAAGACCTCCTCGCAATCGCAACGATATTCCTTTCGCTCCCCTGAGGCATGAACAACCCGGAAGCGTTTGATTTTTTTCCCCCCAGCCCTCGGAAATAACGGCACTATGACGTACTTCCTGTAAAATTATCACTGCAGGTGGAAATCACAATTTTCAGTGAATTGATCATTTATTCGTTCACTCAACTTAAATATTCGTTTTAATTGCCCAGAAAAGTAATTTCATTGATTTTATTTCCATCCAACTTCCTATTGGTTATCCTGGTGTGGCTTGTGGGGGAAACTGGAGCCTGGGCCAGGCAGCGTAGAGCTTAAGTCTGGGGTTCACAATGAGCAGCCTTGCTGGCCCTCATTATAAATCATTTTGACACTTACCATATCAGATTACTCCCATATCGCCATTCAAGCTTCCAAACGTGCCTTGACTGCTGTGTTTTACTAAAATATATGGTACATTCTTTGGCCAGCCAGGGACAGATATACTGTGCCATTGTGTGGTATTTCCCGATTTCCCCTTGGCATATAAGACACGGCACCCAATGTGATGCTGACAAGAACATTTGGGCTAATTATGAGATTTGACTGGATTAAATCCAGTGAGCATTTCTTTGAGAATATGGAAAAAGAGAAATAAAGATTTTATTTTAATTATTTGGTGTGAAAATTGTTGCTCTTTTTGGTGGGGGTGGGTGTAGTGTGTGAATTGTGCTTTCAAACGTATGTTATAATGCACATTATGAGTTGGTATGTGTTTCTGCAAGTTAGACCTCTGTGTCTGTAGTCAAAAGGTTGTGAGTTTAAATCCCATTATTGATAGAACAGTCATCAGTGTTAGGCCCCTAAGCAAGGCATAGAATCATAAATTGGGAAGTAGAAAAGGTATGTGAATATCAACTAAATATTATGTACTTGTATACATGGTAACTAAAGTATCTTTTAATACAGTGCTTCCCAGTCCATTCCTCGGGGACCTACAGACAGTCCATTTTTTTGCATCCTCCCAACTCCCAGTAAGGAGGGATCAAAATTGGGGACTGTCTGGCTTGTCACTGGGAGGGTGCCAAAGATTGGACCGTATGTGGAACTCTGAGGGCTGGGTTGGGAAACCGGGGAACCGATTTAATAACTTTTCAAGGTGTGCAGTTCCTAGACGACGTCTGTAATGGGAACAGAGACATCAGCTCATTAGAGGAAATGCATAAATACAAAATTCAATATTTACCATATTTTCAAAGGGTGTTTCAAAGTGCAAATTCGAAAAAAAAAAACAAAAGTGAAGGAGCTGGTTATTTCTGTAATAGCCACCTTTACTAAGAGCAATGCATGACATCCATGCTGTAATTAGCTTACTTGCTTTACGCACTGTGCAAAGTTCCGATGCATAGCAAATGAATACAGCACAAATTATGGAATTGGTTGAGTCTGAAGTTACTGTACTATTGTTTAGTGATATGTTGAAAGAACTTATGTACTTTATCACAAGTTCTATTGTTTAATCGTGTGCTTTTGTGGCATGTGTTTAATGTTCTTTGAGGACTAGAGCATTTTGCAAACAAAATGTGTTAGTTTGCCCAGCAAGCTTCGACTTTGGGCATTCAGAAATGTAAGTTTTTTTTTAATATGACAGTGAGGATCGAAGAGCACGGTTAGCCATGATCCCTGGAAGAACTGCGGTAAAGGGTGCAATATAGTTCAAGGGCCCAACAATGACATCACCGTGCCTGCCATTGAATTTGAAGCAGCAACCTTCTGATTACAGGCACATAATCCTATTTACAACGGTAAAGTAAAAAGAAGTATAGTCTGTCTGATTTCAATGATTTGGTTTGGAAAGCTATTGTTCCATAAGAGGCCCAGCAGACACATGTACAGTAGAACCTTGAAACTCAAATGCCTCTCAACTCGACCAGCTTGGATGTCGATTTTTTTTCAGGACTTCTACCTTAACGTAAATCTTGGAATGTGACCGTCCTGCTAAAACTTGTATGGGTCAAGATGCGTTCAACTCTACCAGTTCAGACCTCGAACGGGTTGGTTGAGAAAAATCTAGCCACAACTTGACCAAAAACTCGGAACACGACAAGACAAAACAGACCTGCTAAAATTTGTACAGATAGAGATGTGTCTCCCCTTCCAAACAATAACCCCTGCATCCCTCCCCCTCTCCACCTGCCACTTCCAGTTTGCCATCAGCTCACATCAATACAGGTAAAGTGCTCATCAATTGTCATTTATTTTATGTTTATTGCTTTTGTATATGTGCTTTTTCATATGTGTATTAGTTTTGTATTGATTGTTAATCAATTATTTAGGTAGGTAGACAGGTTTAAATAGACAATCATTTGGGGGTCTGGAACGGATTAAATTCATGTACATTATTTCTTAGGGGGAAATTCGACTTGGGCCTCAACCAAATCGCAACTCGACCAGCCTTCTGGAACAGATTAAGTTTGTGTTCCAAGGTACCACTGTATTAGCTTATACATTTAGGTTGGGAATTTCACTGGTTCATTGAGAGAGATGGGTTTACTGTCACATTTTTAATTCTAATTTGTGTATTTTAACATTTGTATTACAAATCCTTTCTTTTTACGTGAAACATTGAACCAATATGTAATGAAACCACAGGTATGTTATAAGAAGTATTTTTTCTTTATTAAAAAAGACCATAAAACTGTGCATTTCATCCATTTATCCTGGGCAGAGGGGCCTGGAGACTATTCCAGGAAGCATACAGAACAAGGCCAGGGATCAGCTGGAGAAGATGGCAGTCCATCACAGGGCAGACATACAATGGGCAATTTAGAGACATCAACCATTTTCTAAACAGTACTCAGAAGAAATCCACACAACACAGGGAAACATGCAAACTCCACAATCCCACACAGAGCCGAGGCAGGAGATGTGAGGCAATAGTGATGTCTACTAAACCACCACATCGCCCACACTCGATTTCATGTGGCTATATAGCCTACTTAACTCCATTGTCAGGACAACTAAACGAAACAAAAGAAGTATACATTGATTTCAAATTCCTCCCTTCCTCTTTACATTCTTTATTCTGCTTTTCTGCACATATATAAACTCAGGTAATCAGTAGTCAAACATGAATTACAATATTGACGAAAACATTTTGGTCAGCTTTGCATTATGGGAATCATAGGGGTCATTTTTTTCAGCTCTGTGTCCAAGAAATGATCCTCAGTACAAGTAAGCTGCAATGAAGACTTTCCATCTGAACCGGTCATCATTTATTATGTAGATATTTTGTATCTGCCTGTACTTTTCACTGATAAGTGAAAAAATAAACTGGTCATTCTCAATGTCACACATGTAACCAGCCCAAGACTAGTGCACTTTAAAGTACCATTAAAGTAATATTCCTACGTAAAAGAGTATGTGGAAGATATAAACATTGTTTTTATAAACCTTTGAACAGTGTTGGCTCTACCTTTTGAGGTGGCCTTGGCAAATCGTTACTTGGGAGGCGCCAGCTACCAAGAACACTGATGATCATTTCAATTCCTCTATTAGAACTGTGGCAGTTTCTGGCACTGGAAAGTTGGAGACCCAAGGCAACTGCCTATTCCCCCTTTAGCTGGAGCCGTCCCAGACTTTAGATCATGGAATAGGAGGCCTGCTTCAAAGGAGACCCACACTAAGGTTATGAAAATAGTTTGGTACTAGAAAATGCAATATTTCTCATTTGTCAAAAATACGAAAACGTTCATCTTTTTTTAGGGGGGCACTGCCATTTCCAAACAAACAAAAAGGCATGATATTTGAAAATAAGAAATCTTATTTTCATTGCAACAAAACTAGAAAACAAGTGCCAAACATGTACATAAATAAGCTATTTCGAGCTATTTGTCATTGAAAAACTATTGATGTTTCAAAATAAATATTAAGCTGGTCTGTAGTATGTTCCTGTAGTCAAGTAATTGTTTTACTTAGATTATTTTTGTTTCGCAAACAAGAAATTGTAGTCTTCTAGTCTGTATCATACCTTTAAAAGTTGAATATGCAGTATGTACCTTGACATTCCGATGTGTATTTGGAGGGTAGGAGTTGGCACAACTTGCCCACTTGTCACTGTTGATTTAAAAACCTTAAAAAAATTGTATTTCCTTTTCAAAATTCTGTTACACTGGGTACAATAAATATCCAGAGAAAGATGAGTGGACATATTGGCCAGCATAAAGTCCAGCTGCCTGTTCTGATGGAAGCTGGATGTAGACAGTGTCTCCTTGCTTTAGTGGGAGCACTGCGCTCCCTGAAGCCTGGTCCAGGAAACCTTTTTTGTACTCATCGTATGTGTACATAACAGGCTCATTGTTCCTGAAAAGAGCCACCCACACATTGGCTCCTTTGCAGTGGATGTGGTAAACAAAGTAATAAATACCAGGAATGTTGCAGGTGAAAATGCCACTCTGTGGATTGTAGTTCTGACCTCCATTATAGAGAACCTTGTTAAATACCACCGGAGCACCCACAGGAGGGAAAGGTGTTGTTAACTGAGCTGTGAATGCAGGCACATCTAGGCCATTTACACCCATAAAGTCTCCTCCATGTTTGCCCTTCTTGTAACCTTGCGGTAAAGTTTTGGCTCCTTCCAGATCAAGACCCATCTCAGGCTGGACTTGCCCAATGCCGGGTGGCTGTGCTGGAGGTCCAGGGGGCCCAGGAGGCCCAGGTTGTCCTGGTCTGCCAGGTAGACCAGGAGGCCCACTTGGACCAGGTTTTCCTGGAGGTCCTAAGGGACCTTGGATCCCTGGAATTCCCTCACCAGGGAGGCCAAGCTGGCCAGGTGCTCCAATTTCTCCCTTGGGACCTGGAAGTCCTGGCGGCCCTAATGGGCCACCGGGACCCATAAGTCCTGGGATACCCTTTGGACCTTGGGGACCTTGGTCGCCGGGGAATCCCCCTTCACCTTTGATGCCAGGCAATCCAGGGGCACCAGGAGGTCCCGGTAATCCTTTGTGCCCATTTTCCCCTTTCGGGCCTAGTGGTCCAGGAAAACCACGTGGTCCGGGCTGTCCCTCCTCTCCTGGTAATCCATGCTGACCTGGTAACCCAGGGGGTCCTGGTAGACCTTGAGGTCCTGCTTGCCCTGGTAGCCCATTGGCACCAAATTCTCCTTTTGGACCGGGGAATCCAAGGCCTCCAGGTGGCCCCATTGGCCCTGGCAAGCCATGAGCTCCAACGGGTCCCGGGGGGCCAGCCATTCCTGGGAAGCCTCCATGACCTTTTTCACCCTTTGCTCCAGGAGCACCAGGTAAGCCACCCAGTCCCTTGTCCCCTTTGGGGCCAGGATATCCTGGTTTCCCAAATCCTGGTAAGCCTGGGGCACCTGGTAAGCCTTGTGGGCCTGGTTCTCCTTTTCCTCCAGGAAATCCAGGTTGTCCTGGCAGCCCATCTTGTCCTGGTTTAGCAATACCACGTAGTCCTGTCGGGCCAGGCGGTCCCCTCTCACCTGCTGGTCCTGAAACCCCTGGCTCTCCAGGAGGACCTGTTTTCCCTGAAACTCCAGGTGCCCCTGGGAGCCCATTCAGACCCGGTTTTCCTACTCCAGGGAGTCCTACTTGACCTGCTGGCCCTGGGGGTCCACCCAGACCTTTAAGTCCTGGTAATCCAGGTAAACCAATTCCTTTGTCACCTTTAGGCCCTGGTAGGCCTGGTAATCCATTGAGACCCTTATGACCAAATTCCCCACGGGGACCTGGCTGTCCTGGAAACCCCTGGCCTCCTTGTTTTGCCAGGCCCGGCAGTCCTGGAGGTCCAGGAAGACCTTGCGGCCCTGGCAATCCCATTGGTCCTTCTCCACCAACATCACCCAGCTCACCCTTTGGTCCAGGCAGTCCCATTCCTCCTGGTTTTCCAGGCATTCCTGGCATGCCTGGCTTGCCTATGCCAGGATATCCTTGGGGACCAGGGGGACCTGGCTTCCCCTGTGGGCCTGGTAGACCATGGCCAGGTAGTCCTGGGGGGCCCTGAGGTCCAGGGGGACCCTGGGGGCCAGTGTCTCCTGGAAGTCCCTTCTCCCCTCTGAGAATCGCTTTACCTGGGGAAAAAAAAAAATATATATATATATTATTTTATTTTTTCAGAAAGAGGATATATACATCTGTCACAGATTTTTTTATTTTCAGTATTTTAGCTTTAATTGATTTACAGTACCAGTCAAAACTCAGGACACACCTGCTTTAATGCATTTCTCTTTATTTTGAGGTATATTATTCACCTTATAGTAAAAGGCCTTGAGTCAATTAAGTAATATATAGTAGATTTTGCAACAAGTAAGAGTAAAATTTAATTTTATACTCTTTGATATAGCCCCCTTTTGCTTCGATGACAGCATTGCAGACTCTTGGCATTCTTTTAACCTGCTTCTAGATGTAGCCACCCAGAATACTTCTTCAACAATCCTGAAGGAGTTTCTACCAGTTCTGGGCAAAATCTGGCTACCTTGTTTTTAAGCCTAGTTCATACTTCATTTTTCTATGAGCGCTTTCGGGCTGCAGACAGTAGTGTACATGGAAGCTTTTGTTCATACTACACTTGATACTGTACACAAACACAAGCAGTGTAGTATAACTTCTTATAAACAGTTTTAAAATTGTTTGGGCTAGGCTTTGGGGGGGGGGTTAAGTTAACATGGCATACTGCAGTATTTTGAAATCCATGTGATGAAATTAGCTGGGACACCCCCCCAAATGCCGGAATACTGTTGCTTTGAAGATACCATATATCATGGTATAATGCCTGAATAGTATGAAAAATTAGATACGTAGTTACCATCTCCTCGTACAGCTGCTCACCATAACTACTGCAACAACAATTCTTTGTCTACTCTTTCTTGGTTAATCTCTGCTCTGTGAAAGTCCATACTGCCACCTACTGGAAATCCCTAGTTGATTATCTTGCACATGCACACGTATAATTTCTGCCAGACAAAAATATCTGGGCGACAGGGACACCATCCGCAGCAGTCCTGTGCAAACCCCCGATGATGAAATTGAATTCACCTCACTCTGTGCATGACCGAAAGCACATGAGGTGAAGTGTAAATTGGCCTTTCAGTGTATAGATTTTAAGTCAGGGGATATCTAAATTATTTGACTGTCTGTAATAAATTGTTTTAATTAAAAAATTCCCTCCTTCTGATTAATATTCAGATCTTACTTACAATGTTTCAGATAGGAAGCAATAGTAGTGTTCATTAATGCTGTAACAGTAAATTCATAATGCAAGCAGTTCATTCAACCAATAGCCAGAGGTGGACATTTCAGGTCCAGAAAGTAAAAATCCAAACAAGAATTTTGTTTCAAATTTGAGCATAAAGAGTCATAATCACAGAGTACTCAACTGGTTGGTTGAAACAAAATCCTGGTTTGGATTTTTACTTTCTGGACCTGAAATGTCTGCCTCTGAAAAGAGCTGTGCTTTGTGACATTTGTAAGGCATCCTTACCTTTACCTTTGTCTTTGTGTGGCATCTCCTGGGCTAAATGCATGGGAAAGTGTGGCAATTCTTTCCTGTACTGTGGAAGCACAGCCCCCTCCTTTCTATACTGCACATGCGGCATCTCCTGACCCAGGTAATGCTGTGGGGGCAGCCCGTCGTTCCCCAAGGGGATGTGAGGTAACTGCGGCTGCTGGGCCAGCTGCTTGTGTCCATAGTACGCTCCCCCACAGACACCGTGCAACGAGCCCAGAAACACCATGACAGACGTGGAGAGAAGGAACATTTCTTTGACCTGGTAGAGGGAGAAGGAGTGAGAGACACAAGTACAGCAGAACAACTGGCAAACTGATTAAGTCTTTCTGTTCTGATTCTGCAAATAACTAGGTTACTTTTGAACTTGAAAACAGTTACTGTTGAAAAAAACATGCAGTGTTTCTCAGGTCTGCACCTAACCACACTGTTATTAAGCGTTTATACTCATTATAGAGAGTTATACCCTTGATGTTAACAACTTATAACATCAAACACAGTCTTCTTTAATATACAAGAAAAAGTTAAACATTATCCTCAGGAAATCATTGAGGGAATTTCATAAGCTAACAAGTAGCCTACCAACTGAATCCCAAGAGCAAAATTGTCATAAAAAGAAAGTTAAATGACATACTACATGTGTTCATTTTATCCTCGCTGTTCAATAAACACACATATGCATCCTGTATATGTTGGACACATATCCTACCTGAGATGTAGCAATTTGTGAGGTTCTGGTTTTTGTCAGTTACCATAGTGATCTTGGTAACACTTTCCATGAATGCCATGTTGATAAGAATTTATGAACACATTCATAACATAATTGTTATTTTGAAAATGAACATTGTTAAATGACTAAAATTATATTAATCTAAAAATTTCTACTCCTTTGACACTGCATTCTGATCATAAAAGAAGTGTATTTATAATATTTCAACAAGGATGCATGTCAAAATGTGCACCCCCTGTGTTTAATAATAATAACACAGGTCCAATTTTTTTTTTTCAGGTGCCAAGGGTTTTTGAATGGACTTAGGGTATTTTGAGGGTGCTGAATTAAAAAATCCCATTACTTTTGCTGAATTGGTTCTAGTTTTTGAGATAACTGACATCCATGAAAATAATGCATTCCCCCAATGTGACTTGTGTGTGATAACAAATGCAACAGCTTTTGGTCTGTCTTTTGACTCTTTAATGAAAGAGTATAATTATTTTGTATTTCTATTTGTAGGCCTACAATGCTATAAAAGCAACTTTTTGTGCTGAGGCTGGGTTTGAACCGACGACCTTGTGATTACACTTGGTTTACATGAATAACAAAGCAGACCCTTCTCAAAGCAGGCTGACATCGGTGTCCACACCTCCATACGGCTCCAGTGAGTGATATCTGTCATAGTCTTTTATTCAGAAACAAGCCGTCATGGAAGGTTGTGAATAGCGTAGGCCTGTATGAAATGTACATGTTGTAATCCACAGGTAAATACGGGTGACCTCACTGACGCCAAATTAACAGTGAATAGCATAGGCCTGTATGAAATGTACATGTTGTAATTCACAGGTAAATACGGGTGACCTCACCTAACAAGGCAGTTTTTTCTGTTTGCCCAATGCAGCTCATGTTTTAGACCATTTTTTGCATTTTGAAATAACAATTTTTTATGATTTTTTTAAACATTTATGACCAATTTCTGAAACTGTGAACGAGCCCTAGACTACTCATATTTAAAATCCAATAGCTAAGAAGAGAGTTTGGGCCCCATGAAAGCATATCATATTGGGCCCCCAACTCAGACCAATCCAATTATGTTCCAAATTTTTTAGGGCCCCTGTCACTTAAGGGCTCTTGGAATTGTCCTAACTGCCCCCCTCCCATATGGCACCCCTGCCTAATAATTCCCTAACCAAAAAGCTTAATTATATAGCACTAAAATTGGGATAAATGAGGGACCCCCTTTCACGTTCCTGCATTTGTCATTCGCGGTTTCCGTTAGACCGACTCGCAAGTTGGCTGTGAACAATCAAATGGAAATATTCTGTGATCTTGCTGAATGATCACAGGCCAAAAACAATACTGACAATGAGCATATAGAATCATATAATATATAAATATTAGTGATACATAATATCTGTTAGTATAAGTCTATACTGTATCACTTAATTGACTTGGGTACGCCGCACACCTTTGTCTCAGCAACCTGCCTCACTCACGTGTAACTTGTCTTTGTGACCCTGGAACCATTTCAATGGTAATTTTGCATTTTAAATAATGGGTCCAATACCTAGTAAATGGTGCGTACTGTAGTAACTTGTACATGACAAAGACATAACTTACATGGTTTGTATATTATATAAAATGTCTAGATAAGAAACAACAAGGCAATTTAATATGCAATGTGTACAGTACAGTACTGTTTGTTTAGAAATTGGTAACTAATAGACTTTTCATGTTCGTTCAGGCGAGCAGACTGTTATGATGGGCAGGGATCGTCGACACGTAGGTCTAACACTCAGTTGTGTGAAGGGGTTACTGTACTTTGTGAAAATAAAGTTAATAAAATATGTCATAGTAAGTGCATTTAAAGCAATGAACCCCATTGAACCACATAGCAGTGATGAAAATGTCATTAAAAAAAACATGACAAATGAGGCAGTTAATCCATGACCTCGATTTAAGTGGCATTTTACATTGAAGTGGGACAAAATAAATCACAGACATGAAAAAATTCACACAGAAACTGTACACGTAGATTCTGAATTGTAATGCTCTCAGGAGCTTATTTTCCAGTTTTGAAAAGCATTCTCCTTTAATAAAACGGAATGCAATCTTTGTCAGTTATGATCGAGGCACCCCAAGTAACATAGAGTCGCCCACGTTTTCTTTAAAAATAAGCAGCCGGACGGACAGTGGCAGGCGTGACTGACGATGCACAGCCAATCAGGAGCCGGACGGACAGTGGCAGGCGTGACTGACGATGCACAGCCAATCAGGAGCCGGACGGACAGTGCCAGGC